GCAGGAATGTAGTCTAGCAAATGCTTTATTTAGTAAAGATGACCTTCAAAATATATTTTAAAAATCAGGTTGGTGCCTTTTTCAGATTGCTGGGGCATGAAGAAATTGTGAATGGATTTTGTGGTTAAAGTCTGTTCTCTCCCATCCAGCCAACTAATTTTGTTGGCTATCTTAAAGCATTTCATTGTGAATGCCAACTGCTGAAGGAATGGAGTAACTAAATCTTACAAAGCTTTGGCAAAGTCATTTGCCAAAAATATTAGTAAGTCACCAACGTTAAATAATGTTGGTGAAAATAGTGATCTGACGAAAAACTTCCAACCTCAGCTGGTCAACTTCTACTTTCTCCATGCTTGTAACCATAGCATCATCATTGCTCTCTAGGCAGGAGACTAAAATGTCCTGAATTTCTCTAGCATAAGAAGCTAATAAAATGGTGATTAATATTAGGAAGCAGAATTGTTAAAACCTGAGCTAAATAGAAAGGGCAGAAGGAAAATTGTAACAAATATGAAGGAAAAGTATACCTTTACATAAGATTCAAATATGTCCGCCCTTTCCAATGAGGGCATAAAAACCACACACACACACGCCCCCTAATTCTACACTGTTTTTTGTTTCTCTTTTTAGCCTTAGAAATAAAGAAAAGAAAGAATCCCAAACTTTCTGGGCCTTGTGTACACACCATACGGAAGCAGACTACTGACAGTCACTCTGAAGCATACGTAGTATTTTTAAAATGCTTCCAATTGAGATTAGAAATAAGGTGAAAAAAATTTCATCTGTGACAGGCTAGCTGGCAGTGACCTAGCCCAGGGGTTTTGAAAGGGCAAAAGATGATTGGAGGACTTGGGATTCCCTTTTCTCACTAATCTGGTAATGGGTAATGACTTGGCCACGGGGTTTTGAAGGGATAAAAGATGATTGGAGGACTTGGGATTCCCTTTCCTCACCAATCAGGCCCCAGAGACTCGCCCCTCATGTCCCCTGATTGGCCCCTTGGGTCACCTGGAGGGGGATAAAAGGGGCAGCACCCCTGACTCAGGGAGAGACCAGTGAGGGACCACGAGGAAGGAGCTTCAAAGAGCTGAGCCAGCAGGGTGGAAGCAGTTGCCCCAGAAGAACCTGAAGGAGCAAGACCTGCAGGCAGCAGTTAGACCCTCAGCAGCACGGCATGCGGCTGGAAGGAGAGGCTTCCTGCTGGGCTCCAGGATCCCCTGCGAGAGGCTGTGGCCAGCAGGAGAGGCTTCCTGCTTCAGCAAGGATCAGAGCAGCGACCTGAGAGGTTCCCAGCTTGGCTTCCAGCTCCTCCAATCAGAGACCAGGCACCTCGACACGAGGCCAGGGCTCCAGAAAGGTCAAGATCCCTAGCAGCTACGGCTGGAAGGAGAGGCTTCCTGCTGGGCTCCAGGATCCCCTGCGAGAGGCTGTGGCCAGCAGGAGAGGCTTCCTGCTTCAGCAAGGATCAGAGCAGCGACCTGAGAGGTTCCCAGCTTGGCTTCCAGCTCCTCCAATCAGAGACCAGGCACCTCGACACGAGGCCAGGGCTCCAGAAAGGTCAAGATCCCTAGCAGCTAGAAGCAGTACCAGCACTGGTAGCTGTGAGACAGCATTCTTGCCTACCACATGGGAGATCCAGGTTTAAGTCCCAGCTTTGATGACTTGGGATGAGTGAACTAACAAGAAAACATTTTTCTTGCAGTGGAAAGGGGCCATTGTGCTTTCTCCCTTTCCAGGTACATAGGCCCTATATTTCTTTGACATTTTGTATTTTGTGCCTTTTTATATTTCCCCAACCAGTATTGTTTGTTCTGCTGTTTGTGTTTTATATTTTGTTAACCCTGTCTATTGTCAATGACTGTAAGTGTCTAACCTTTGCTGAATCCTGCCCCTTGGGGCACTGTAGTATACACTATACCCCCTGATTATGCCTGTTATGTTACCAGTATTGTTCCCTCATTAAAAGGTATATGGTTACGTCTCCAGTGGTGGTCTGGCTCTGCTCTATAGGGGGAGGAGAGTCCCTAACACCTCCCACAGTGCTTGTGCACCTGCTTTGATCCCTTCAATTGGAGAGGTGGTACCTTTTGAAGTACCGCCCGGGTAACACATTCATGCCAAAAAAGTTATTTTTCAAAAAGTAAAAAAGAAAATCCACCTACAGTGAAGTCAACCAAAAATAAAACTATATGCCAATGTAAATATACTGAAAAATAGAAATTAACAGCACTAAAAGGGAGCCTAAAGTGCAACTGAACCAGGGTGGTCAGCCTGCAGCCCAAATGCTACAAGTGGCATGACCAGTCTCTGTGCCTGGCACCTGGCAGATCAGCACAGCAGCTGCTGATAGGGCAGGAAACAGAAAGCTGAGGAGATCAGGCAGGAAGCAGAAAATGGAGGAGGTTGGGCCGGGAGTACAGACAAGGGAACAGAAAGCAGAGCAGCAGACTGAGCAGAGGAAGGGGATGCAAGTGGCACTTGGGGAGGGTGCAGGGCTGATTTGTGGCACAGCTCCTAAAAAGGTCAGTCCCCAATGAACTAAACAATTACAAGCAAATATGTTTTTAAGTAGCACATCAAAAAGGTCTCTTTGAGATACCAGGTGATCCACTACAAATCTAGGGCAGAGACCCCCCACCCTTCCTTCCAACAATTCTCTACAAAATGGTCCAACATGGCCTGCTGGCCAGATCTGACCCTTGGCAGTACATCATCCATCTCACGGAGCATCCCATGATAGATTAGGTGTGGAGGTCAGTGCCAAGCCTGATCTCAGCCTATGCGATCAAGCAGAGGTGGCCCGGGGCCCCCAGAGCCCAATCTCAGTGGTGAGTCTAATCCAGTCCATGGACCTGCCCTGCAACCTTCATTTGCCCGCAGGGCCAAGAAGTTGAGCGTCAGTGGTCTAACATATTGTCTATTTGTGCACTATGGCATGTTATTATTAGGGTATTACATGTAATCAAGGCACTGAAACCATGTGTACATAGTTACTGTAGACTGGTGAAGCTAACATCTAAATGTGCAAAGATAGCTACAAGCATATAGATGTAATTACTTTGTAATTTTTGTTCCAGTGACCAACAACTACTAAATTCTTCAAAACTGCAATCCTTATGTAGCAAAACCCCCAGTTTTTTTTTCCTTTAAAATGCATTCCCTCCCCTGCCCCAACCATTTCTGATTTGTTTTCTTTCCCTCTCTAATCCCTATAGATAAGTATAAGTGAGCTAAGACATAGGATAAGCTTCAGCATTTTATTTTGGTAGCAAGTTCCATTTCTTTTGTTTTTTCTCCTTCTTTATACTCTATAATTATTATGTTTATATTGATTTTTACTGTTCTATATTACTGTTTTACTGGTACTATATGATTTAGGCCTACATATGTAAATTAGCATAAGTCTTGTCAAGTTTCCATTTTGCTTGTCAAGTCTCCATCCTGTCCCCAGGCCCGGTTGTATAACCCATGACTCACACCTACCCCTCCTATGTAACTTGGTTCCTGAATGAATGGGGATGAATGAGCGTGCTTGAGAGACAGTGGCAGTAGGTCTAAAAATAGCTCCCTCTGAATGACCAAACCATCAACACCAATACCCGGACCAAGGACCCGGCCCTTGGAACCACCCTCAGCATTCAAGAAACAAAAGATGAGGCAACCCACCATTGTGCCAAGACTGCACGTGCTCAGTAAGAACACCTGGAGCCCTCTGGAACAGGACTCACCTTGCCTGGACAGGCCCTCCCCATAGGAGATCAGAGGTAGTCTGCCCCATAAAAAGGCCTAGTGAAGACTGACTCCTTGGGACGCCCTCTCCATCTGGACCAGCACCACGCCACACCACCTATCCACCCAGAGGCCCTGCTGGCGACCCCCCTTCTGGACAACACCTACTGGACAGGGACCCCTTTCCAGCCTGGAGAGGTGGCTATTACCTCCCCACCCCATTTTCAACCAAGGACTTGGACTCTGCTTCTCTTCCCTACCAGTCCTTCCACTGAGTCTCTTTCTCCTGCTGCCATTGCGAGTCAGTGCGTGTGTGAGTGAGCGCGTGTGTGAAGCAATAACTTCATGGGGCTGTGTAGTGTGTTGTCTGTGTAATAAAACTGTTATTTGGACCCCTGAGTTGGGTTTTGCTTTATTATGGTTTGGCCCTGCTCCAATCTCTGCTCCTCGTCCCTCTGTCTCATTTCTCCTTCTCCTGCTTCTGTCTCTCTGCCACCTCCAACACCTGTCCTGAGCTCCTCTCTGCCTCCAAACCCCTTGTTTCTTTGCCACTGTCTTACCCCCACTGTCTTTTCTTTTTCCCCTGAGCAACCAGGTTTCTGCCTCAGTTTCTTTCCTGGCTGTCTCCTCCTTGCCACAACTTATCTGCCACCCCCCGCTGCAATATCTCAGCTATCTGCCTCAGTTTCCAGCCCCAGTCTACCTTAAGTTAACCCAAGCCTCAGTTCCTCAGCCAGCTTCTCTATAGTCCACCAGTTCTAATGCTGGTTCTGGGAACTTTC